ATGCTTTAGCAGCTGTCCTAAGATTGGAGAGAGCTTCTTGTAATCAGGAAGAATCAGGCAGGAATTGAGTGATCAAGATCGATTTTTTATCAAGATTGGAGGTGCCGATCAGTTTTTTTCTTGGTTCTTTGATCAAGATTCAAGGTGCTGACAGTAATCGATTGATCAGTTTTCTGGGCTTTTTTCTTCATAAAGTAAGTACCTTTTCTTGAGATTGATACTCAAAAGGAATTTGTTATTCATTAAGAGAGGTATGGATAGAAAATCTCAGGACTAATATCAATCCCAGGACAGTAGTTGATTGTTATCTAGCTGCAAAATCATTGTCCTAGGTCGGCTGTTATCAGCCTTGAAATACAGTTTTTTCTTGTCACAGTAGTTTAAAGCCTCTTCTTAACTTAGAATGGAGTACAAGAACCAAGAGGAAGGTGCTTTTGGGACTGGTGGTTCAGGTAACATGACTGAAAACACCTTTCAGATTACAACTGTTAAGTTTGATGGATCAAACTACTTGGAATGGGCCCAATCGGCCATGGTGGCTATTGGGGGTAGAGGAAAATTGAACTTCTTGGTAGGGGATGTGAAGGAACCCTCCAAGGAGGACTCTACTTATGCTAGGTGGGTCTAAGAAAATTTTTTGGTGATGACATGGTTGTGCAACTCTATGCAGCCACACATCAGCTGAAACTACTTGTGGGCCAAAACAGCTAAGGAAATATGGGATGTTATGAAGGAAACTTACTCTCAGCCTCTTAATGTTGCTAGGGCTTATGAGCTAAAATGTGAGGTTAAAAATCCGAGGCAATGAGAGAAGCATCTCTTTGTTTACTTTTCAACCTTAAAATTCCTGTGGCATGAAATTGACCATCTTGAAACAATTGAGTGAGAGAGTCAAAAAGATGCACAGACATATAGAAAGCAGGTTGAAACTAATAGAGTTTTTGAGTTCTTAGCTGGTCTGAACTCTGAATATGACATTGTGAGACAACAGTTGTTGACAAGACATAGTGTGACTTTATCACAAGCCTATTCCCTAGTGCATAGTGAAGAAACTAGGAGAAAGGTTATGTTGCAGCAACAGTCCTCCGAATCAGCCTTGGTAGCAGCTAGACCTAAATCTAGGGGGGGGGATAAGGAGAAGAAGGAAGCTAAGAAGGACTTAGTATGTGAACACTGCAAGAAACCTAAACATACTAAGGACACCTGTTGGAAGTTGCACCCTCATCTAGTTCCAACAAAGCTTAGAAATAAGAAAGGGAATGCTAATATGGCTGTCAACACTGGTAGTACAACTTCATCAGGCGTAAGAGGCACTCCTCTAGATACCCTATCTGCAGTCCGAGCTACTCTGACTCAGCTAGAAAATGAATTTAGTAATTCAACTCAGCCTACTTCAGCCCTTGCTCATACAGGTACAAGAGCTACTGCTTGTCATGCTTCTGTCCCAGGTAATACTAGACCTTCCTGGGTAATAGATTTAGGTGCTTTAGATCATATGACCAACATATCTACTATATTTAGCACCTATTGTTTATCCTCTGGGAGAGGCAATTTCTATTGCTAATGGCTCTCTTGTACCAATTTCTGGCAAGGGAGACATCAAATTATCAGATACAATCACCCTATCCTCAGCTTTGCATGTTCCCAAGCTTAGTGCTAACTTACTTTCAGTTAGTAGTAATACTAAAAATCAAAACTGTTCAATAACTTTTTTCCCTGATCAGTGTATTTTTCAGGATCTGGAAACGAAGAAGGTGATTGGGATTGGCCGTGAGATGAATGGAGTCTACCTGCTAGAACATTCACAGGGGGAGCAGTGTGAAGCAGGGAAATATCTTGTTTCTCAGTCTTGTAGTAAGATTATGCTTTGGTACAACCGCTTAGGTCATTTATCTTTTGGGTCTTTAAAGAGTGTTTTCCAAACTTGTTTGAGTCAGTAGAAGTGTTTGGGTTAAAATGTGAAAGTTGTGAACTTGCAAAACATAGTAGATTATCTTATCCTTTAAGTAATAAAAGAAGCAACCTTCCTTTTGAAACCAAGGGGGGGGTATAGATATTTCTTATTATTTGTTGATGACTATACCCGTTTTTCATGGGTCTATTTTATGCATTCTCGAGATGAGGTCCCCTCTCTAACCTAAGCTTTCCATCAGATGATCCTAACTCAATTTGAAACCAAGATCAAGATTCTTAGATCAGATAATGCTAAGGAATACTTTGCAAAACCATTGGCATCCTATCTTCTTGATCATGGGATCATTTATCAGAGCACCTGTCCTCACACACCTTAGCAAAACGGGGTTGTTGAGAGAAAAAACAGATATTTTAGAGGTAGCTAGAAGCATCATACTCAACTCTAATGTTCCCATACGCTTCTAGGGAGATGCAATCCGTACAGCCATATACCTCATTAACAAGGTTCCTTCACGGGTCCTAAACATGCAAACCCTATTCAGTCTTCTATATCCAGATAAGGACCTATTCACTATTCCCCTCAAAACTTTTGGGTGTACTTGTTTTGTTTAAATCCTTGGACTTCATCGCTCCAAGTTTGATCCCAAAGCCACTAAGTGTATTTTCCTTAGGTATGAACAAAATCAAAAGGGATATTGCTGTTATGAGCCAGATTCAAGGAAGTGCTTTGTGTCCATGGATGTCACATTCTTTGAGGATATGCCCTACTATCATAAGGCTTCTCCTCAGGGGGAGAAAAGTGAGGAAGGGATTTCAATTTTAGCTCCAAGAGTTCCTTTACCAGTCCCGGTTACTGAGGGGGGAGTTGTGAAGAAGGTTGTCAAAAATGCAGGGAATTGAGGGTGTATCACAGAAAGTGGTGGAGGCAGGTTGGTTCTCATACTCAACAGCAATCCAAGCCAGTTCCAACATCTTCTACAGCTCCAGATCCAGACACTACTACTGCTCCCACTGTTGATCCCACTGTTACAGAGGTTCAACCTTCACCGACAGATGACCTTGATCTTCCAATTGCTATTCGTAAAGGGAAGCATTGTTGCACCTCATCCACTGCCCATTGCATCTCCAAGTTCCTTTCTTAGAATCCTACAGATCTTACTTGACATCTATTTCTTCTATTCCTATACCCAGAAAAGTGCAAGAAGCTCTTTTGATACCTGAATGGAAGGAAGCAATGCAAGTAGAGATGGATGCTCTTGTCAAAACAACACATGGGAACTAGTTAACCAGCCTGAAGGGAAGAAACCTATTGGATGCAGATGGGTGTTTACTGTGAAATATAATGTTGATGGTACTGTAGAGAGGTATAAGGCCAGATTAGTTGCAAAGGGATTCACACAAACTTATGGCATAGACTATACAGAAACCTTTGCACCTGTTGCAAAAATGAACACTATCTGAGTTCTTCTATCCATTGCTGCAAAATTCTTATGGCCACTATTTCAGCTAGATGTTAAGAATGCCTTCCTCAACGGAGACTTGCAAGAGGAAGTATACATGGAGTTACCCCCTGGTTTTTATAGTACAGAAGCAGGAAAGAAAGTTTGCCTTTTGAAGAAGGCCTTGTACGGGCTGAAAAAATCCCTGAGAGCTTGGTTTGATAGGTTTAGATTGGCTTTGGACAATTTTGGATACATACAGGCTCAATCAGATCACACCCTCTTCTTTAAGAAGAYAGGTCATTCCTTGACTCTACTTGCAGTCTATGTAGATGACATTGTGATAACAGGAAGTGACACTAGTGAAATTGAAACCCTTAAACAACACCTTCACAAGGAATTTGAAGTGAAAGACCTAGGAAAGTTACACTATTTCCTAGGAATTGAGGTAGCTCAATCTAAGCATGGCATTTTTATCTCCCAAAGGAAGTATGTTTTGGACTTATTGGAAGAAACTGGCAAGTTAGGAGTGAAACCTACTGATACTCCTATTGAGCCTAACCATAAGATAAGTGCAGAAAGTGGATAACTCCTTGAGGACAGGGCTATGTACCAAAGGCTGGTTGGGAAACTTCTTTATCTCTGTCTAACCCGACCAAATATTTCTTATGCCGTCAGTGTTGTCAGTCAATACATGCATTCTCCTAGGACCACCCATCTCCTTGCAGTAGAAAGGATCCTTGCCTACTTAAAGAGATGTCCAGGGAGAGGTATACTCTTCAAGAATAATGGTCATATGAAAATAGAAGTGTATACAGATGTGGATTGGGCTGGATGTGTTGATGATAGGAGGTCCACCTTTGGATATTGTGCATTTGTGGGGGGAAATCTTGTTTCTTGGAGAAGCAAGAAACAAAATGTTGTTGCTCGCTCCACTGCAGAAGCGGAACACAAATCCATGGCCAATGGTGTTGTAGAAGTGTTATGGCTGAGATCCTTGCTTAATGAGTTGGAGGTTGATTATGAGAAGCCTCTGATGCTGTATTGTGATAATCAAGCTGCAATTAATATTGTCCACAACCCAATACAGCATGACAGGACTAAGCATATCGAGGTTGACAGACATTTTATCCGAAAACGAGTCGCATCTCAAGAAGTATGCCTTCCTTACATTGCCTCAGACATGCAGTTAGCCGATCTCTTCACTAAAGCAGTCACAAAAGGCAAATTGGAGACAGATCTATGCAAGTTGGGCATGACAAATATCTACTCCCAACTTGAGGGGGAGTGAAGAAATAGTTGGTTAGCCACGAGTGTGGGGTTCCATACCCACACTCACGCTCTAGTGTGTGGTTTCATACCCACACCTAGTTGTTTCTAATTTCTTTTATTAGTAGTTTCTAATTTTTGTTATTAGAAGTTTCTAATTTCTATTAAGTTGGGTTGGCTGGCCTTATTGTTTTTATTTTTTGTTTATTTCCTATTCTTGTAAGGATCCTAAAAGCTATAAATAAAGGAGTGTATGGGGCAGCAAATCATTCACCACTGAACCCTTCTTTCTTTTCTCCTCTCTCTCTCTCTTTTCTTCTCTTCAAGCCTGTAATACAGTAAACAGTTCTTCTTCTTCTTTCAAGTAAAAAATTTAAAATATAATATATATATATATATAATATTTAATACATATAATTGGTGTCAGGGCGGGGTGGGGACCTCATTCCCCACCCTGACCCCAACTCCGACCGGGCATCCCTATTAATCCATGCCCCCGTCCTCGCCCTGTTAAAGCAATCCCCATCCCTGACCCCATCGGATCAAGGAAGTTTGGTACCCTGTACCCATTGGGGATGGGGAAAATTGCCATTCCTATTGGATTGATAACTAACCTCTGGCATTTTGTTGCTTGAAGTGTTCTCTCAGTGTTGATCCCGTCTTCCAGTACTTGTCAGCCCAAGATTTTACCATTGAACCAAGCGTTGGCCCCTTTGAATATTTAGTTGACTCACCAACACCTTCACAAAATTTTATAACAGAATAAGTTTTGGAAGTTGTTTTATCACTTTTCATATCTAACTACTTAAGAACTACAATGATACTCTTCTTGAGGATGTTTTTTATGCATTGCTTGTTAAAGGTATATGCATGCATATGCAAGTACGAATGGATGGTATTGCCCCAATGATAACGTTTCTGAATTGCTTCAGGAAATCATTCTTGTGGAAGGCCTGAAATTGGACGGCATTCAACCAGGAATATATTCTGTACATTGCTTACCTCTAAGATTGCGTGGTGCTGAAGGATCACCAATAAGATGCATTCTCATCAAATAATAATTTTCATGTATGTCTGTTTCATTTCATCTATCTTGGTTATTGCTTCATGACTATTTCAGTGTTGCTGGCACCATGGGCTTCAACTTTGGAATGAAACTTTCAGTTTTATCACCTGTTTTTTTTTTTTTTTTTGATCAATAACAGAAAGCTTTATTAATGAATAATACTTGTGAAATTTAATTACAGAAAAGGGGAGGTAAACTATCCTAACTCCCCAACATCAAAAGGACAAAGGAAAAACTAAAAATTAGCCCAAAACAAAGAATCCTTAGCCACCCCTTGCTTAGCTAACCCATCAGCCATTGAGTTAGCACTCCTTTTCACCCAGCTGTATTTCACCTCTAAGTCCTTACTCAGCCAATTAAATTTTTTCTTCTCATTGCTGTAAGCCACTGTTGTCTCCTTTCAGCCACCTAATCACCACCTCCGAGTTCCACTCAATAACTAAGCATGTGATGCTTAATTCTCATGCTCTTTGGATTCCTTCAAGAGCTGCTAGAATTTCAGCCCTAAGAGAATCACCCTCTCCAATTGGCCCAGAGAATATGGCAATAATATACCCCTCCTCATTCCTGAACACACCCCCTATCCCAGAAGGCCCTGGATTCCTTAAGCTACATCCATCAAAATTCAGTTTTATGAATCCAGCGGGACGGGGGTCCAAGAGGGTCTATAGGTCCTCTTACAAAGAGCAGCAGTAGCTACCTGTTTCCACTTTCTCAATAAGTCAGCCAAAGAAAATTCAGAGAATATCTCTATTGATTTCAGCCAGTGAGCTACCCTTAAATGTATCAAGTCTATGGTTTTCTGCGGTTCTTTCCTTATCTGAAAAAATTCCTCAAATAAGAAATTCCTTGTAACTTTCTGTTGTGACTGATCTGTCATGGTTTTTTCTTTAACTATTTTCTGAATCTCCTCATGTCATGGGCCTGTTTTTTATGTTTCTCACTTTGTATTTATATTATGATAGGACATAACAGATTCCTATAATAATATTCAAGGTGGCCCCATGTGCACTTTAAGGTTTTTTCGCACATAGGGAGGGAGTGGTTCCTTCTTATATTACAATCATTTCAAGGTAATGGAGCCCCTGAATCTTCACAAATGTTTCTTCATAATGCAACTTAAAATTATGATCTGAGAAGCACCAAATCATTCTATAGGAGAAGACAATTGGAGCTACATTTAATCTCACTAGTGGGCTTCTTCTAACAACTAGTTTTAACGCCTGGTTTTGCTTTAAATGCTCCAATAACCATATTTTCTCTATATAAAACCATGTAACCTCAAGAAAGAGTTACCTAAATTTTACCTTTTCTTTGTAGAGCTGAGAGCTTTGTTTTGAGAGTGAGAAATCCTCTTTGAGCCAGTGGCTCTTCTTTCACTTAGGTGAGTGAATCTCTATGTAGTCGACCTCTCCATCTATAAGAGTTCTATCCGATTTCCTTCTTGTTCCTTTAGCCATTTCTTCCATTTTTGTTCTTATTTGAGCCATATCACTCCACAATCTGAATCAAACAATAAAGAATGGCTATCCTAATTGTGATCAGAGCACCTTTGAGACTATGAATCTTCACAAGCCTCTATCAAATTCAGGTTAGAACATAACCAGCAACTATCCTAATTATGATCTGAAATCCAATGGTAGTTGATGCATAATATTAAATTTAAGTCCTTGGAATGGGTACCTATGCATTCTAGGCATTAGTTACTTCTGATAGTTGAAACAAGCTGCTGCATGATTCCAAAAATTACTGACCCCACGAATTACCTTTGAGAAATATGACATACCTAGATTTAATCTTCTGGCAGGTTTTGGTTGCATCAGACCGTCTGCAACAAAACATACTTATGGAAAGTTTTCCACCTCTGTACCGATTATCAAGAAATAAATAAGATTTCCCATTTTGTTAAGATGCCTTTTACGTTGGAATTCCTTTTGCTAAAAAATGAAGAAAAAAAAAAGAATCTGGATTCCTACTAAAAAACAATAAGCAACTAGAAAGTCAATGCTTATTCCAGCTTCTTACACTCTGGAGTAAAAAACCTTGCTGCATCTCATTACTTATGTAATATAATGCCATATCTGAAAATTATGTTAGTGTGAGATGCAAGTACTTGTTTTAGATGATATTTTCTTTTTTATAGCTAATATGAATTTTCGACATATGTTGTAGGAAAGTCTTCTTTGCAAGGCATGAAGTGGAGTACCGAGTTTGGGATGTTGACTATGTAGATTACTTTTCACTTGGATTCTTGTTAACAATGAATTACATTTAAACAATGACTTCTTTTACATTTGAAAGTGTATCTTCTTTTTACCAAGGCAGGTCAACCCTTATTTGCTACATGTATGGAAGAACCATAGGCCAAAATCTTGTGAACCAATTTGCTCCGGACCAATTCATGATTGGTATCAAAAGGACTTCTGTTAAAATTTGAATCCTTGGTCTCGAGATCCAAATACATGCTTAAGTTAATCCAACCATACCAACATATTAACTATATGATGCAGGTACTTGCCTCTGGCTTCACGTCCAGGCCATAAAAGTTGCATCAATTTTTATATCCTTTTATTTTTATGTCAACCAACGATTTAAAAACCGGACCGGACATGGAACCGTTCTGTCCACCGGTTCCTGGATTGAATGGTCTGATTGTCCGGTCTGAATGGAACGGACAGCCCGTTCTGATTTAAAAAATATTTAAAAATAAATAAATAAAATAAAAAACAGCAAAAAACTGTTGTCTGGGTTGACAGTTCAACCGCTTGATCAGCGGTTTGCTGACCAAATCAATGTTTTTTGGGCCCATGTGCAGTTTTAAGGTGAAATAGAACCAGTTACCTGACTGATTCCTGGGTCAATCGGTCCAACCATTTGGTCCGGTTTTCAAAACCATCATGTAAACCAATGTTTTTGAATTGTCGTTGACCTAGACGGTCGGATCGTTCGGTCTGGGAATCGTCGAGGCAACCAATTCCGTTTTACCCCAAACCCGGTCCTTGGCCAAAAACTGTTGAATTGGTCAACGACCTGTTGACCCGGGTGGTTGAATTGTCAATCTGTTTGACCCATTCAATGGTTTTGGCCGTTTTTTATTTTAATTATTTATTTAGTTTTTAAATTTTTTTATCAAAATGAGCCATCTATTCGAATTGGATGATCGAACCATCGGCCAGGGAACCGGTTCTGATTCCTGGTCGGTTTTTAAAACGTTTATGTAAACACGTCCAGGGTAGATGCCCTTCCACTAGTTACCCTAAAACTAGAGGTAGTTTCATTGTATTAACTTTTGCAAGATGATATACAAGACAAGATTACATCCAAAATTTTGGCAAATCTGTGGATACATTCCAATGCTGGTCATAGACCTCCTGGCTATCTCAGATCTCCACTCTCGACAGGGATGGCCTGGATGCAAATCTAACATCTGGCATTTCTTAGATTCAAATCCAAAGTTCACATGGTTGTTTTTTGAGATTTTACCATCATATCAAGCAATGGTCCCTACATGTAAAAAAGATTGTTATTTTAAATATTGCATATAATTCAAATGACAAGGCTACTGATATTGTTATAGGCATCCTCCTATCAACCCCATGACATAGGGAGTATCTTTTGCTTTTCAGGTTTGGGGCAAGGCGGGCCTGGTCCTCCCCTGTTATCTTTTACCTCTGTTTTGGCAATGGTTTAATGACTTAATCAACAATATCTGGCCCCCTTTGGTGAATCAGCTGCTCCCGTTCAGAAGGTGGCCGCCCCTCAAGCAGGAGTAAAGTTTGGGGTTTAAAAAAAAACTGCTCTTTTTCCAACTGGATTTAATGTATCCCAGGTTCTATGATATCCCATATATAAAGCAATTCAGATCTCTTACCCACAAGAATCTACCCGCACCTACTCACATTGTTAGAGCCGCACATTAAGAAGATCTCCGGTATTTACATGTCATCATTCATGGGAGATGTTCTAAATGTACAGCTGTAGTGTCCTGTGAGTAGAGATCCGGATTCTGTTTAAAGGGCAACAACAAAAAGAACTAATTGTCCTTTTGGGAATATAAATGCATCTAAACTTCTTTATTAATCAATAAAATGCATCTAAGCTTTTGATAATTAAATAAAATGCTTCTTAACATGGACAAATTTTAGAACAGCTATAACAAATAATAAGGGGGAATTCTTTTTTCGGATTCTGAGAGGGGGGAAAGTTGGTCAATGGGATTTTGGCTCCCATTGACCAAGAATCCCTTGTTCTTTTTTCAAATTTATGTGGGGATCAGGGAAAGTTCATTTTCCTGGGTACCACTTACCCGGGAAGTGATACCCATCTCCTAAGTGGGTAAATAACTTTCCCACCTAGGGGGAAAGTTGCCAACACTTAAATGAGACAAAAATGTCCATTTTAATAATGGATTTTTTATGGATAAAATGACCATTGTCTTGTTTTTATGAGAAATAAAAGAACATGAGTTAATGCACTTACCTGGATAAGTGTTTTCCAGGAAAAACTTACCCAGGTAACTACATTTACCCGGGTAAGTAATTTACCGAAAAGCAAACGAGGCCTAAGAGTCACATTTCTGGTTTAAAAATGCTAACTCCCTCGGTATCTGATGGGAAGTGTGAAGAACGATTGCAGGATATGATGGGTTTAAAATTGTGGGTCCATCATTATTGTTGTTGGTGTGGTTGTTTTGGCTGCACAGGTTAACTAGTTTTTGCATTCAAATCATTTATTGTTTCAATTGTGAAGTGTTTTCATTGTTGAAATAGTGTATGATTCTGTGAGTTACTGGCTTTAAATCCTTGGGATGTGTTCTGTTTATAATAAGAAGAAACATAAAGTTGAGGTGAAGTTTTTGAGGAATGGAATTTCATAAAATATCTGAAGAATTTTCCCTCAGATTTTTGTTTCTTTCCTATTTTTTAATAAGCCAAACAGAGTTTTAAGAGGAGAAGGGGGGATGAAGAACAATTGAAGTATGGTGCATGGTTATGAAAGTGGAAGATGAAGAATTTTCCCTCAGATTTTCGTTTCTTTCCTATTTTTTAATAAGCCAAACAGAGTTTTAAGAGGAGAAGGGGGGATGAAGAACAATTGAAGTATGCTCTGTCTACCAACAAAAGAAGTATGGTGCATGGTTATGAAAGTGGAAGATGATTTAATTGATGACTATTGACAAGAAGATTGGAGATACGCATTAGTGCTAGTGGCAAACGGAGGATCACTGCTTAAGCCTTACGAGGCAAATTAGCTGCGCATGGTCCAACTCTTCACATCCCTTAGCTCCTAACAGAAGCTGTAGCAGAACATTTCTGCCTGTAGCACTTTTTTGGGGGGGATTTTAACCTAACATCGAATGCCCTGCTTACGGTCCCAACTTGCGCCCACTTAGCTCTAACAAATCCGTATTTTGAACTCTGTGGACACAATAATGGGCTTTGGTTTATGCCTACTAATCAGCTTCTGTAAGAAAATCTTGGAATGCTTCAAAGTTCAGAAACACGTTATTTGGAGATGATAAGAAGCTGAAGAGAAGCTAATAATTTGGTGAACCAAACCTAATTAGCACCTTATTTCTGCAGTCAAATCCTTATTTGACATAGAAGAAGATTGTACATGTCTACACTTGCATAAAGAAGAATATCCACTACTGTTGATTGTGGTGAAATCAATCATTCAAGCTCACAAGATAAGGGAGAAAAGATAAACAAACATTGTTTGCTGGGAAATTGCATACTTGATGGGTCCGTCTATCCTTTCTTGTTGCCACTGTTCTGCGTAGGCCAAGATTGTTAGGACACAGACATGATGAGACCCACTTGTCTACACTTGGCCAGCAACTATTATCGGGTTTCCACAGTAGCAGCTTCAATTCAAGACCTCCAAGAAATTAGATAGGATCCAGTATGAAGATCCCCAGATATCCCTGAAGTTTTGTCTCCCATCTAATAGGCTTATGAATAAGGAATTAGCTTTAATAGGTATCAATCCTCTCATCTGTTATGATCTTAATGTGTTTCTGGTTTTGTTAACAGGAAATCAATTCAGCCCCACAAAGTGAATAAGATTTCTATTTGTTAACAGGAAATCACCCACATATTTCCTAGTTGCTGACAAAAGTTGTGGGCCAATCTTCATATAATGGTCCTTTGCATCAAAACAGGTTTCAGTTACTATATCAGAAAGTTGATATTGGAAGTTTTCATCTAAGCTCACTTTGGAAATAGTACAAATACAAATATATACAATATAAATACATACAAAATAATACAAGATATAAATTTTTGCACTCTACATATTTATATTTGTATTCCTTCAAAACTGAGCCTTAGTTTCGAACCTCCTTTGCTTAGTGTATCTCATTTTATGGGACTTTTAGTTAAAGGCTTTCTAATGAGTTTTTAGGTAGGTCAGGCCTGCACCTAGTAGTTAGTAGTTACAGCTTAAAAGCCACTGGTCTTAATGGCGGGAAACCACCATCTCCTTTGTCACCAAATATTCCCATGAAGCTCCAAGCCAATCCGAAATTCCTTCAAAAGTTCAAATTATTATATGTGATTTATAAAAAGGGGGACAAGTCCCCAGTGTCCTGAGTCCTGACAAAAAGAAAAAGAGAAGAGGTCCAGACTCCAGAGATGAGATCCCAAATCTTGGGTGTCATTGTGTGAAAAATGGGGACTACAAACAATCAAAATTCAAACATACAAGGTGAGTAGGTGACTGCCAAAAAAAAGGTTTCAGTGCCTCGCTGCCTTGAGGCGTGACCGAAGAAGCCTGGAAACACCTAAAACTCCTCCAATCGTCCTTTTCTTCTTCTGACGACGTAAAAGGGACACTTGAGGCCTAAAGCCTTCCCCCTGCTGAGTCAATTGGCTGCAGCCATTCATTATTCCCCAAACCCATCAACAAGCAATATCACACCTCTCTTCTTCTGTCCAGATATTACTTGAAAAGAGTTATAGCTTCACCTTCCATTTCCATGCCCTCCTCCTCCTCCTCCTCCTTCTTCCCTTCAACTTAACCCCAATCAAATCTTCCCCAGGACCACTTTGCCCCGCCCATTTACGTTGCTGTTGCTGTGGCCATTATAGCTTTGCTGCTGCTGCTGCTGCATTAAATGCGGCTTCTCGTCTTCTTATTCTTTAATATTTTCCTTGTGAAAACTTGAACCAAGTCCAAACCATAGAGCCCACTCTCCCTTTCAAATTTCAATCCATCCCAGATGACAAAATCCTTTCTCACGGACTCTGCATTTTGGTTTCCTTAGAAGAGAATTGTTACGCATATGCTGGTCCCAGACTCCCAGTGATTTGTTAGGATTATCCTGCATGGCTGCATCCATTCCAGGGTCCAGAGACCTGTAGGCCAGGCCAGGTTTTTTCTTTTCTTTTTCTGGGTACGGCCGATCCAACCGGTGGTCCGATCCATTCGATATTGGACCACATGTACCATAAACCGTATTCGTCGTCGTCTTGTCTTGCTTAATCAAATAAAGATGTAGCTGTGCAGATTCAATGTTTGGCATTGCATGAGATGGTGACCAGCTAGAATTAGGACACGGACACATTGGATACTGATCGTGTGGTGCATTCAGAAAATAATTGAGTGGAACAGGGAAAACGAGGGCAGTCATTTGGGGCACATCCCATTTTTTTTATAAGGAGGGTACACCCTTAATTATGAGACAACAAGTTCATCATTTGAAAACTCAGAAGCGGCCTCATATTTCTTACTTGTAGCAATGGCGACAACAGGGTTTCATTGTCTTTTCACCCACCAGGGATTTTGCCTGGTTTATCAAAAATGGGATGTGCCCAAATCAATCCAATGACAGTATGTCAATCATGGATTCACCCATTCAGGAGGAGTGCACAATTATTAGACTCACGGAGAGAATGTGCTTGGCAGCTAAGTCCAGATATCTGTGTCGGGTTGATAAGATAAATCAAACTTGGGTCCTTTCTTTTACAGAACGGAATCCTATTCAACCAATATGGAACAGTTTTAACGCTCTTAGCAGAACCCGAATATCACTGATTGCAATAGCTGTAGCAGTTCAGTATCAGAAAACACCATGCACATGCTGGCAGCAGCTATATATCTGCAGAGTGCAGCCCATCAGAGGGCAGGTTGGGTCTTAAATGTACCAGACCCGAATGCAGGGCTGATGCTGTAATTGGGTGGGTGTTTGGCATAGATGCCGTTTTTTGAAAAAGTGGCACCACGTAGGTACCACATTACACATAAGAGAAAGCGGTGCTTCAAGTAATGCCTTTTTGTTTGATATTATTTTTCAAGAAAAAAAAATGTTGCTTCAGACCATACATTGAAAATTAGGAAAGTGTGGTATGGAGTAGCCTAAATTTAAAACGGTGCATTGCTGCCAATGTTACAACAATGTAGCGTCATCTTGGATATTGGATAATATAGACCATGTTGAAAATATTGCTACTAGCACTGATATAAACAAAACTAGTATTGTTTTCTCAGAAAACAGCCTATGTGGTAGCATCGCTTCTAAACAAAAAATAAGCACCGTTTTCTCCACATGCTCAGCACCATTTTTTGAAAAAAAAAATGGTGCAATGTTCCCAAAACCAATGTCAAACACCTACTAGGTCTTCTGTTAATACTCTAACTCAATAGATTGGGTTGAATGAATTCGCCTTGAGTTTGGCTTCAATCAGAGTAAAGTCCATTCGAGCAACCTTTACTGCTTTGCATTGAAAATATCTCTGTAATTATGTGTTTTATTTCATTGGAAAATATTTTCAAGGCCAAGTTGTAAAAGGCTGTTAGAACGATATGAGCACAAGTTTGCCCTGATGGAAGCTGATCTCATCTGCCTTTAGTCAAGAATCAAGATAGTCCCGGTCTTTAGCCAGGCCAGGCTTGAAATTGAAGCTAATAAGACCCAATTTTAACTAACAGGCCTTGAACCCTGCTAATTTGACAACAAATATTCAGAACTGACCCCATTAATAGTTTAATATAATTGAGATGAATTGGTTCGGGTGTGTTGGGTTGACCCGACGATTGACAGTCCTAGGGCAAGAAGAGCCAAGTATGAATCATGTTTATGTCTTTGGTTAAAAGGCTTGACATCGACATTAATTTCTAGAATAGGCATCTATAGATAGAAATATTGTCTCTGTCTGGACTCTGGGAACACTGGCCCCATTGGGGGGGTGTCCGGGTGGAGAGAGAGAGAGAGAGGAGGTGGGGGTAGTCTCATTTCTATTGTTGCCTTTTAACCTTTACAGCTGTATAAGGGAAAAGAGGAGAAAGAAGTAAGCGAGAGGCAAAGAGGAGGGAAAAAAGTGATAAGAAACAGATTGTAAATGAAGAAGAGTGGGTTAGTTTTAATAAAACAAGAAATATATATGGATGAGAGATTTGAGGGGAGGGATTTTGGGTTCCATCATCCATGAAATGAGGACTGGGTCAAAAGAGAGTTTTTTTCTTTGCCTTCATATTATTCGACAATTATTGGGTGGGGACTAAGCAAATCTTTTAGCTTTGAATCGGGCTGTTGCCTGTTGTGTTGAAAATCCAAAAGCCAAGGCCTCAGACCCAAATCAGTCGATCAGATTTACATTATAAATACATATCTACTACACCTACCATATGCCATATCGTCTGTACTACGTTAAAGCTATAAAAAAAAAATGTAGGACCCGAGACATCCCCACAAAATCAAAAGATTTTATTGTCTCCCAATTTCCCAAATTCAAAATCCCCCTCTTTAACCTCTTGCCTTTTGTGGGTTTCTAGTGGGTGGGGCACTAGGATTCTCAGGAAACCGGATTCAGTCACTACAAAACCCGTTTCAACAGTTATTATAGCCCTTACATCGAAAATATCTACTCATAAAATAAAACACAAAAGTATGATAAAATCTTTATTAATTATGTGCTTCGCTTCTTGATGCTTGCTTCAAATTTTGATTTTAACACCCACTTACACGCGCGCCTGCTCGCATATAATGCATACAACATATTCAAAAGACACAAAGCCCGGAATTTGTATGTTGTGTCTCATACTCTCATGGCTGGCATCTGGACTGGAGGATGAAAACAAATGTCCGGAAAAAAAAAAAAAAGGAATAAAAAGAAAAACAAAAATCTAATCTCGCACATTTCACCTATAACCACATCTAAATTATTAATTAACATGTTTCTTTAAAGAAATTATTAATGAGAAGTTGGAGACCAAACGGACAATTTAGCTTGAATTTGAGTAAATCAGATTGTGACCTGTGAGGTACATCTATATAATCAAATCAAAAGACCCAAAAAATGAAAACCCGAAAGAAGCTAGGCAGACATCAGTGGGGCGAGATATAAATGATACAGTGGGTTCAAAAACAACTTTGGCTCAGTTTGGAAAGATTATAAATACAAATATATAGAAAATAATATAAAATACAAAGTTTTATATTCTATAAATTTGTATTTATACTCCTTCCAAACTGAGCCTTAATATTTTGTCCCAAATGAGTAAACCTGAAAGAAGTTTGTTAGACATTTATATTAAGAGAATTAATGGAATGTTTAACATTTCACTGAATGGGATGCTTCACTGCTCGTATTTCTCTCCATCAGAATTCAGAGATATGCACAATATATAGATGCTTCTTCCTAATTATTAGTAATTACCAGCAGATAACCATAACCATGGATTGACATTGATCAGCAATGAATTTAATGCAATCTGTTTGGATCTTCCAGCTGTTGGATATTTGATCGAACCCATTTGGCTGACAGCAAAAGGTTTCCGACAAGGACTAGCAATGAATGAAGAAAATAGGTATTATAACAATTTTGATCTGTACATTTTCCATGGATAGCAACCCATCAGAGAAAAGTGTCCCGAAATCAAACAATCCAGATTAATTGAGACGTACAGAAATCAGAGCAGTGAGAGATGGTTGGCCAGCGGACAGTGGGCGGGAGGGAGGGGACCAAGTCACCAAACCAAATCAATTAACAAACAATAGTTCAATACAAATATAGAATGGGGGGAGCCAGAGGCCCGGACCCATGCTCTTTCTGTGTGCCCCAACCCCAAAAGGTCTAAAATGCGCATGTCGTATCCAAGCGCAAATTAGAAGATTAATGGAGTAGGCAGTAGCTGGGGTCGGACAATTTGTCAAGGAGCGTTTCACTTTACTCCACCACACTCCTCACCCAAATAGTCCAAGCTACAGTAAACACAACATAAACATAAGAAGCACTATAAAAACATGGTTGTGGGTGGGTATTCCGTATCGCATTCCAAATCTAACCTCTTCACGTTACATATCAAAGATTGAATATTTTAAGTGCAATCAAATCGAGTTCGTCTTTTCATCTCTCCTAATATTTATGTTCAGTTAGTTTAAGATTATGAAAGCTGTGAATCATGGTTCCCATTAGTTCAAAGTGAGAGAAGAGCACATGCACCATGCATGTGTTCTTGTGGCTGTGGGTGTGGGTGTAGACTGTGGTCTGTGTAGAGTAGGGGTATATTAATTACTATTTTACTACTTCGTAGCAGCTTACGAACACGACCAAGTCCAAGTGGGCTACATTTATAGAGAGAGAGATCAGATCTCTCAAACCAGATCTAAAATTAAAATGGTTTCAAAGTTAAAATGAGGTGGGTTAAGTTGGGTTGGGCGGGATCGACTGGGAGACTGGAGAGGACGGACACAATAAGGAGAGACGCTTAGAACGAGGTCAAACCCAAAATAAAAAAGTTTCAAATAAAACCAAAACTAAAACCCCAGTGGCCGACAGCCCGTTCCACCCTCCACATGCAAACAAAACTCATCCCATGAATTTCCTTATTTTCTTCTTTCTTGTTCCATCCTTTCTCTCTCGCTGACTTGATTTAACGATTCGCGCGATTGTGATTTTAGACACCCACCTCCGTCTAGATTCTAGAATTCCATATCAGGTAATTTTATGAGATTGAATTTCTTCATGTAATACACAATAAGCAAATATGCAAGTCTGCAACTTATATTTTTATACTAAGTAATAATATATGTTCATGAACACATTACTTGAAAATTCTCTGAGACTAGTAGAGATAATTTATAAGCAACTAGTCTTTCATTGATGCAGCCATGGTTCATTTTCCGAGCAAAATGCCAGCCATCTCTGCTTTTCAATCTTCCTCCCCCACCTCGTCTTATCTCTCCCTCTCTCCAGGAGACGATGGGGACAATTGTCTATTTAATCTTCTCGTCTCATATGATACGTTTACTGGGCTTACACGCTGGAATTGCAGAGATGGAAAGCAATTTAACTTGCACTTAAACAACATAATTTCATGGAAAGAGAATGTACGATAGCATGGGTCTGATGAAATGGGTAGATTAAGATTGGATTAAGAACCGAAGAGGATGGATGGATAGTAATAAAATGGGGAGTAAAGAGTTCTAACTAGGGCTGCTAAGCACGTCCACGATAACTCGGCTGAAAGGACGCAAACCCATCTGCTGCTCCTGGGCTCTGCTCTTCTTAAGCAGAGGCTCCGGCGAAGACGAAACTGATGATGCCACCGCCCATGAATCGTTGGAACTGTCGCAGCTGAAAGACACATCAATGACGCCGTTTGGACTTCCCGGTACGGACAGATACTTGCGTTTTCGACTGTGGTTGAGACCTTGGCAGCCCGATGTCAATTCCCGGATGAGTTCATAGCAGTCATCCACCATGTCCTATTTGAGTACAACGAGAATTGATAATACATTGTTAATGGTTAATCATGGTGGGTGGATGCTGAAAGATGGAGTACAAACTAATCCATCCACAATGTCGTAAGATAAGAGACTACCAACCTTGCTGATTTTCAGGACTCCCATGAGCTGCTTTTGATATTCGATCGGATTACAGGGCTCAACTTCCTCGATAACATGCAGCATTGTAGCAGCAGCCAAAACAGAAGGAAGATAACGAACAAACCTCGAGTCTAAAAAGCAAACCCAAGGGTCATTCTCATTAAATAAAATGAATTGGACGAGAACAAGATAGGCCGTTCGTTTTAGACCGTATCATTGTCGTTGTAATGGAAGACAGAGATCGTTCAAATGCTTGCTTACCGGCAATGACGGAGAGGAGGAGTTGCTCGCAGCTCCTGAGAAACACCCAGTGAAGATGGTTCTTCAATCCCAGCCTTCTTATTATGTGATCGATGAACGAGAGTGGGGTCACGGGATTCATCTTCCACTGAAGGGTGGAGAGCACCAAGAGTTCCATTCTCTGAATAGTTTTCGCCTCGAACACATACTTGGTGTCCTCCACCTGAGCAAATAAAGAAAACATAGATCAGAAACCGAGACGACCAAGAACCCCATCCGACTTCCGGTTAAAAGGGGAAAAAAAATAAGGAAGACGAATGATGTTGCAAGACACGTACTTGCAGGTCTAAGAGAAGGGGAACTTGGGTCTCTTCCACCTTGGCAGCCAGAGAAAGACAAGCCACAGCGGCGAGTTGGGTCATCCATGGTTTGTCTCTCTGGAAATGGAAGCTATAGAAGAACCTATCGAGATAGTTAACTGCAAGAACACCGGTGAGAGCAGAGAAGGCGTAATGGGAATTGACCCTGAGAATCCAGTTCACGGCCTCCCGACGAGCCGACCCGACAGAAGGGTCGCCAATGTCGAGGTTTCTGATGAAGTGGTGATTCTGCTGTTCTTTGGTAAAAAGAGAGAGGAGCTCCTCGTCTTCCCAAAACAGGTCTTGTTCCAATAAGAATAGAGGGAAAAGAGATGGATTCGCTGTATTGTTTTCACTGTTTTCGCCCTTTTCTTCGTCTGCTGTAGCTCTTTCTTCTTCTTCCTCCCAACCGTTCTCTTCGCAATAGAGAGCATCGAGGAGGGATAGGGGGTTGGATTGTTGTTGGTGCTGTTGTTGTTGTTGTTGTTGTTGTTGTTGAGCCATCTTCTTCTGAGAAGAAGAGGTTTAGGCTTCTGTTCATTCTACAAAATAGAAGAAGAACCACTTAATTTCACACCCAAAGACATATCTAGAAAATCTCTCTTGCTCGTTCTCTCTCTCTCTCTCTAAACAGAGAGGGGGACTCAAATCAGTAAAACAAGGGAAGGGTTTTTATTTTGGTGGTTTTTCAATTTTCACGCCTGTCCTTTTTTTTTATATTGCAACAGTTTTTTTATTTTTATTTTATGTTTTTTGGTTTCGTTGGCGGGCAGGAAGTGTAACGGCACACAGACCAAGCAGGACCCATGAAAAGTTTGAAAACCACCCCGCTTGGCATTAAAAAAAAAAAAAATAGACGTTGCTACTACTAAGTTCTACCGTTCTACGTCTACGCTACTTAAAGGGGAGAGACTAGAGAGAGAGAGAGAGAGAGAGAGAGACGCTAACGAGTGTATTATACTGATTTAAAGGTCAACCGTAGTAGCAAGTAGCAACTAGCAAGCGGTATAGTATTTTTGAACATACTGATTGATTAGTCTCGTCGCTCGTTCTCTCACCCCAACTTTTCCCGGTTAGACCTCCGGTTTGAAGAGGGAAAGCCAAAAAGGAAAAATCAATCACCCGCGCTCTCTGAGAGAGTGAGAATGAGAGAGAGAGAGAGAGAGAGAGAAGAAGGGAAGTGTAGACGATTTCCTCTCTCACAACATTATTGTTGCCGTCTTGTCTGCTTGTCCAAGCCTGAAACAGGGGCCGTACGCTTTCCTTTGACATCTCTATTTTGATTCAATTCTATTAAACGTTAATCAATATAAAATGGGCACCACCCATTAATCAATTTTTACTTCATCTTTAGTTAAATTTTTAACTAATTATATTGGATGAATCCACGAAGCAAGACAAGAGTTAATGAGCTAGCTATACAGCAGCATACAACAAGCACACAGACATACACATACAACTTAGTGTATGTTTTGCCAGTAGTTCTTCTACCCAGTAGTTCTGTTTTGCCAACAAAAAGAAAAAGTTGAGGATGGATCAACTCATCAACCTATACCAGCCCAATTACGATCAACCACTGACATTGTGCTTGTTATTTGTTTTGTTTTGTTAAAGTTGTTTCTGTTGCCTTGGGAGTTCGTCTGCTGCAATCTGCCGCATTAGTAGCTGTGGCTCCTGCTGCTACATCTCTGTCATTAAACAAAAGAAATGAACCAATTAATGTGAGAGAGCCACCTAACTTTATCACAGACTTGTCCAATTCATTGTTGTTTCTTTCTTATACATCTGATTTTCTCATATTCTCTTCCCCAGTTTCTAAGAAGTATTCAGACATGTTTTCCCATCAAAACCCAATACCAAGTTCTGGAAATTATCCTGTAATTGAAATCATTGGAGGGATTTTTGCTATATGGAATGAGGAGTGAGGAGTGAGGAGTGAGGACCACCCAAGGCTTACCAGCTGATTTAAGAAGAGTTGCATGGTGAAGACATAGATTACCTGTAAATTTGTACAGGTCCGGTCCTCCTTTGTGTCCAGGGCAGCCCCCCCNCCCCCCCCCCCCCCCGTGGACCACTGATCTGGTCTGTAATAGTAATGTAAGCAAATTAAATCTTTGGATTTTTCACCTTTTTCTAAAGCCCATATAATCATCTTTAGAATTCGTCATAACCCTTTCACCATCCGTATGCATGCTTCTCTGTGTGGCAGTAAGTACCCTTTTGTTCTTCTCTTTATTAATAAAATTCAAAACAGGATAAAACCACCTTCTGTTCGTTAATCTGTTGAGCCTTCGAACTTCAAAATCCAAGCAAATAAATGAGATTTCTGATCTGAATATCTGATTATGGATGAGAATTGAAGTGGGTCATCTTTTTACGTACCGGATCAGACCAGTTCTGAATTCTGGCGATCCATGCCCTCCTTTTCCCATCATCATCAAGGCGGGTTTTTTTCTTTTTCTCTGAGGATAATAAAGCTCTAGTGTATATGTTACTTGTAAAGGAGTAAGGAGGGGGGAAAAAGGTACTCCACCAGAAATATAAAGCATGCGCTGGGAAATGAAATCATGGGGCTATTGCAATTTTGACTTACTTGCCTTGTTTTCTTCTTGTGCATCTGTACCTCTGTGTCTCTTTTTTCATATATATATATATATATATATATGAAATTCCTGGCTTGCATGTGGACTATTGAAGTCGACGAAATTGGATTGGGTGTTGGCTCATGGGTCATGGCTGACTGTGCGTTCACGAACTCCCCAAGACGATAAGTCGGTGATCGATCGTATACGATTGAGAAAAATGGAAGGAAGAGGTAGAGGTTTGCCTTGTACAAAACGATCGAAATCCAGTGAATTGTCCATACAAGGAGGCAGGAGCTAAGGTAAGTGCATGCACAAAGCTAAAGTCTAACTAAAGCAATTGGATTCCGATTTCCTCTGGAATTGTGCAACTACGGAGCCTGAAGGATACATACATGAATAGCTACGGTTTAGCTATGGATGCATAGCTGGAGCTAAATTTAACATCAATCTCATGCAATCCAACCCCACTAGCTTGGCTTCAAGCGTAAGATGCCTAGCTCTCAGGCCCGGACTCTTATGTATATATATATCATTTGTGCATGCATGGCAGATTTTATATCTTAGTTTGCTCTAATTGTACCACCCTATTAATGTGTCTTGTCAACGCCATGAATTGCACTATTAGACTCTTGTTAAATTAAACCCCACTGAATTATTATTTTACTCTCACAACTACATATAAAACCACAGAAAGATTAGATTTAATTTAGGTGTAGCTATATAAATCCAATATTAGTGTTTTAGGAGGGAGCAGGCTAGAGCAACAAAATCTAGGGAACTGTGATCGAGCTCATGTATGAATATGAACCACAGACACAATATATAAAACATGGGTTTTTGTTTTAGTATTCCATCATTAATTATGTTTTGAAAAAACGTTCAATCATGCATTGTGTATTGTGTATTGTGTATTGTGTTGTAGACTCACAGTTGCCGTGGCTCGTGGCCCTCGATTAAGGGAGTTGAACCCGTATATGCGATTCTGGAGGAGTGAGGTGTCCTCCACGAAGGGACAGCCTGCTCTACCTACCTAGGGAGAAGGACAGACCAGGACAGCACGACCCATTACTTAGAGCTCACTTTAATTGAAGTAATTAAATTACAACTATAATGGATTTTAATGTGCTTCGTTTGCTATGTTCCACATTATGTGTCCGGTCCTTATTTGAGAGGGTTTTTCATATTGTTGCTTCTGGTTTTGTGAGATGGGACCCGTAAAAAAGAGCCTTTTAAGAGTGTCGAGTGGTTTTATACTGGACTGCATTAATGTGAAATGCTGCTCCCAAGATTGTGTATAATGGGCTGTGAATACATCAGTGTATTCGATAGGGGTTTTCATAAGTAACTGAATCAAACCCAATGAAATCGAATAAAAAATTGATTAATGGAATCTTCATTCATTATTTTTTAAAAACCAAAGGACCAGTTCAATTTTCCATTAACCTAAAAAACAGATATTAACCAAATCAATATATGCATTTTATATAAAGATATAAAAAAAAAAAACAAACAAAAAAGTTGAAGAACCAAACTGGTCAAAAGTCAAAACTGGTCAACCAATCAAATAGTTGATTCGGTTCAAAAACCTAAAAAATTTGAAAGACTGTTTTGGTTTCAGAATCAGAATTTTGCCCTCCCCTAGTGTTCTACACCTGTGGGGGGCAGCACATCCAAATTCTAATGAAGAATCCTTTTGATGGTATATATATTCAAAGCAACTAAATTATATGTAGGCAATTGAGGGCCTGTTTGGAAGGGGTAAAGCTTTCTTTGAGCTTCTTACATTGAATTGTTTGGTAGTAACCACTAAGGCTATGTTTGGTTTGAAAGAAAAAGTAGGGAAAGGAAAAGAAAGGTATCTAGGAAAACATCTACAATCTTGTATACGTTTCCTTACCTTTACCTACATTTTCCTTCAAATCAAACATAGCCTAAAGGAAGCTTCAGCCAAAGAAAAACATATTTTTAAGTGTAAGATAGTAGTTATTTTGGGCTTTTCTAAGGCTTGAATCAAAGATTGTTCATAGACTGTGCAGGTAGGGTGCACCTTTCTATTTTTTGGCCAACACAGGTGGAGTGCATCTTAAAGCGAAAAGCTACTTGGAAAGCCTCTCCCAAGGACCCAAACAGGCAATCAACCAAAATTTATGCCTTCCCAAAGGGGAAAGGCTTGGCTGTTTGTAACAAACAGATTGAATACTTCCTATACATGACACTTACCATGTTTCAGTGCTTTCTCAGTCACTCAGACTAGAGACTGAGCGAGATAAGGTGTCAATGGCCTATGCTGAACAAATAGCCAATCGATATCCTTTGCCACCGGCTGTATCTATGTACGCGTCAGTCTTCACTATACGAGTTTCTTTGAGGCCCAACCTTGCAAAATAAACAACTCTAGCTCATATATATCTATAATAATTAAAGCAAGATTTCTCCAAGTAACATACTCCCTCAACCAGCAAAAGAGTCACGAGTCATCAATTTCCATCTACTCAAAGCTTGTTCTCTCTACCGCCAAAGCTATCAATATCCATGAACATAAATTTGTTTGTTTGATGGTTTTCAAAATCGGATTGGACCGAATGGTGAGATCAGAAAAACTAGGAACCGGTTAGGTGATCAGTTCTGTTTTACCTTAAAATCATTATTTCACTAAAAACCGTTAATTTAATCAATAAACTATTGATCTGGGCATTTGAACTGTCTAATGATTTTGATCGTTTTCTATTTTTTTTTATTTTTTTTGTTAAAACGGGATATTCATTCAGTTCAAACAATAGAACTATTTGAGCCAAAAATCAGACCCCTGATCGGTTCGTTGTACAATTCGATTCTATTGTTATTCCTTCACAAAATACATTCTTTTATCGCAACATTTCTTTGCTGAGCCTTAAAATAGACCCAACCACCTTCAAAGCTGCGCAAAGATACGTTACTTTAATATACAGTTTTTTTTTTAACTTATGCATTAATTGTAGGATTTATATCCAATTAATCCAGACGGGGTTCGTGTATTGATTATTGAATGTCATTAAATAAATTAAATTGAAAATGATCAAAATATTATATATTATTAAT